AAATTGAATATATCTTACTCGATACATATAGAATTAATTATATCCGAAAGCAAACCGAAGACACAGCAATTTGTTAGTCCACATTAAATCGTACTTTCCTCGACCTTAATCATTTGAAAAATTTGTCGAATTTTTCAATTTCATCCGCATGTGTCAGACGTAATCGTATTATTATCTTGCGTCAAGGACTCGTACAATTAATAAATAATAATAACGATGCTAAAATATAATAGAAACGTACAAAAATCTGCGATCTACGTGCAACCATAAAAATTCCGAAATCCTTTGGCCCGTCACGCGCAATTAGCTGGCCCGCGTCTCCTAAATCGTTCGTTTTACGGAGTTCACGGACGCTTTTACGAGCCGTTCTTGACCGAACAGATTTATTGCGGGGCGTATTATAATAAACATCGTCGAAACCGCGGAACAAGCCAGTTTTAACGGTGGCAGACGTACGTCTTTGGACAGATGAGCGGGCCCGATAAGAGAATTAATTTCCGGCGCGACTTCGTTTGCGTTTGTTTTCGCGCGATATCAACATGCGCTCGGAGGATTAACGACAGCGTTAGGTTCGTTTGCCCGGCTGCGTGTCGGCAGCGAACGCACCGACATGCGGCCCATTTCCATGGAAATTCTGGTCGCGGGTTAACGTCCGCGGCGGCATCGTTCCCGTCAGGCCGGCGCTGGTACACGGGCGAAAAGCCGGCGGAAAATCGCGAGCAAACCAGGCGGGTGGCTATCGGGCTCGTAGAAGCCGCGTCTTGTAGGCGTAATCATGCAAATTCGCCGCGCGGGAAGATAACGCGCTGCGGGGAGGCAAACGTAATCCGCGGCGGGCCGTTGAATTTCTGCTTTCGCAGAAACGATCGGTTTGAGACTGAAACTTCGCTGAAATGTGCTCGTGCGAATTCCTGCTACGGTCGGTATTCTGCGTTTCATTCGTGGATCATGGTAATTTTCGATACGGTCGATTCCTTTACGTGCAATCGTTGTCGTGCAATGTTGCAAATGTTGCTATAAACCTTACGATCTTATATCTTCGTAATACGTTTGTTCGTTCCATCTTGGAATTTGCGACTATATAAAATAACCAATTGAAAAAATCCAACAGGTTCTACTTCGTTGCGCAGCGTATAAAACTGGGCAACCAATATCTCGTATCGACTATGATCGCTCGATCGAGGATTTTGCGAGTTTACATCGAAAACACGTTTTTATTTCATTGCTGTTTCTTAGGATTGACTTGGATACTATCTATGATCATAGCTCTCTGCGCAAAGTAAAACAAATGCGTAAAAATCCACGGTATACAGGGTGTCCCAAAAATGTCTCGCAAGCCGGAAATGGCGGGTTTCTCAGATCATTTGAAGCAGCTTCTTCCTTAACAAAAATTTTCTGCGAAACACTGTTAACGAGTTATTAACGAAAAACAGTGACCAATAAGAATCGAGTACGGCTGACGCGAGGCGGCCCGGCCAATCAGCGCACAGCGCCAGCTGAGCTCGCCTCTCATTGGTCACTGTTTTTCTGTAATAACTCGTTAACGGTGGCTCGGAGAAAATTTTTGCAAAGGAAAAAGTTGCTTCAAACGACCTGAAGAACCCGCCACTTTCGGATTGCGAGACATTTTTGGGACACCCTGTATATTTTGAGACATTTGACGATTGTAATAATTTCATCCAAGAGAAACGAGATCTATGTTTGCTCGAATGCATAAGCATCGATGACAAGAAAATCGATCACGCTCAACAGATTATTACAAGAAATCTGCATCTCGAGTCGAAGCCGGGTTAACGATATGACGTTTACGAGACAGTGCATCATAAAACGAAAATGATTCTGGCAACGATCCGGGTGATCACGAAGCGTAAACCGGTGCGACTAGCGCGACAAGATTTCAACGCCCACCGGCAAGGAGGATCGAAAGATGAGAATTTCGACCGGAGGCTAACCCTTCTAACTACATTCGCTCTGATCTGATGAAACGTTGCCTAGAGGCGGGTCCGCGCAACGCCGAAACGCTTTTCTCTTTTTTTTCCGCGGACGCGGCGACGTTCATATCGCGCTGGTTCCCATGACCGGCAGACGACGGGAGATCCGCGCAACCAGTATTTAAAGCGCGAGACCGGAGAGCAGCTTGCCACAATGTTCGCGAAGAGAGAGACGGGAGAAACGAGTTTACGACACACGCTCCGGACAAAGTAATCCGGAGCTGACTGCGCGCGAGCTAAGCCCGAGAGTGTCCAGGAAAAGCAGCGGGATCCGGAGTTCCGTGACACACGAGTGTCCAGTTCAGGTAAGCTTCGGAAAGCCTGGGCTCCGGTCGTTAGAGCATCGCGAGTCTAGAGCGTGCCTAGTCTCTTGGTCGTTAGTGCAATTTTATCCTATGAATGACGACGCATCGGGGGGGCGAGAGCCTTCCTACTTGATTCTGCTCCGTTGCTGCCGCGGTGCGCGATCGTTCACATGACAAGTTGGTTAAACTGAGAAATGAGCATCTGATTGGTCCCGTCTCTGTCCTATCGCTTCCTCTTAGCCTCCGCACCCTCTCTCTAAGTGAATTCTATGAAAAGATGGCTAGCTTGCTGGGCGAAGGAATTAGGCCCTGATTAGTGTAATATAGCCCCGCACCCTAGTCTCTTGTTCCGATCCAGACCTGGGCACATTTTATTCGAAATAGAATGAAGAAATAACTATTTGAGATAATTTAGATTTCTGATACAAAATGATTTTATTTTATGACATCTATGCAAGAATTTGTTTAAATCGGTGCCCTCTTCACAAAGAAATAATCCACAAGATAACAATCAACGAAACGATTTTGTTTCATGAAATCGTCGCAACAATTTGTTTAAAGCAGAAAGGTGTAAACCAAGCATTAAATTTAATTTCATAATTATTTCAAAGAATATTCCAGACAATTATAAAATAAAATAAAATAACATATTATATGAAATAATATTAATATTCCAAATAATGCCACTTAAAATGTGTCCAGGACTGATCCCAACCTCCTACACTGTGTACCTAAACACTGTAAACGCCAAATATGAACCCCAAAAATAAAATATCAAAGTTATTTAATCAATAAAATCAGCAATATTCGGTTTGCTTCGAATATATCCGAAGAAAAATGAATCTCAAAGCCTACTTAAAAATCAGTGTCGGCCATATGCGACCGACCCGTTAATACGTCCACACTGTAACCACCGATCGCATCATTCCCCTCCAACCGACTCGCGAATCACGCACACTCGCGATGAATTAGCAAGCGGAGTGACCCAAATCCAACGCGGCCGTGAATTAGCAATCGGAGTGACCAAAATCGAACGCGCTTATGAATTAGCAATCGCAGTGACCGAACACGGACCGAATTATCAGGCAAACAAGATGCAAGACGCGATGGAACGACACCGAGCTGTCGGAGGCTGCAAAAACCGCAGCGGTGGTGCACTTTGTGTGCAGCTCGGCTGGCAAACTTGCGCAGGTCTCCGCGCAGTTAGCTCGCCGCTGTTCCCGGTTTTTCGGTGCGGTAATGCACTGCGTAATAACGGTTATTTATAGGCAGTAAATGCCCTGTGCCATTCTGCCGGCTCCCGTTCCCCGTCCTTTCCTCGCCGCGATAATTCCTCCGTCGGCTTGGAATTCGGTCGACTTTTATTTCCCTTTTCGCTCGGGCTCCCGGCACAGCTTGTTCCGGGAATCCTTTCCTGTCCGCTCGTATACGCTTCGCCGACGCGGCGCGGCGTTCCGCTCCTCTCCTCCTCGCGTGCTGCGAATCCGATTGAATGCGTGTCCCCGGCGATAACCGCGGCTCTAGATACAACCCGCGTCGCCGGATCTTTTCACGTTTCGGAGCTGAAACGCAGCGCGAGGGTGGCGGGAGAGGGTGGTGGGTCGAACAAACGGCACCGCGATGGCGTCGACGTTATCGATCCCTCGGAAACTGGGACGGTTTTAACGAGTCGCGATATTCAAGACTTATCCCGAAGGAACGAGGAACAACGGAGACTCGCCGGCTCCTTCTCGGCGAGATTTATTTTATCGGGTCTCTCCGAGATGCGTTTTAGAGACACCGGTAGCGTCGGATGCGCTTTTCAACGAGCGCCGATCGATCTGGACTACACCCGCGGACGATATCTTCGAGCGAGCGATCCTAGAGGCGGAGTTCTTCATCTTGCCGGTTTAATTTCAACTCTTTCGATCCTGACTGGACAGGAGTGTCCTAGCGATCTTACATTATATTTATTTTTTTATCCTCGATTATTATTTATCGATATTATTTGGCCTTTAACCAGTTAGCTGTGGCGCCTCCTTTTCAGGGCGAGAATCAAGCGATAACGAGTATACTCGTCAAACATAGAGTAAGCGTCGCTGTTAAAATATTGCATCAAAAAGACGATTTTATTTTATAGAATTAACAATTTTATTACTAATATTTACTTATTCATTTAATCGCAACATATAGTATACTACACACTTGATAAACGAAAAACGCTGGAAAAATCAAATACCTATAAGAATTAAAAATTCAAATTGCTGCTGCAGTGTGGTATTCAATAAAGCAAGGAACAACACATAATGGCACTTTGCACGTCGAACACCAATATCGTGAATTATTCATACAATTATTCATATTTTTTTATTTGTTTGTTTTATTCTGGCCTGGCCTCAAAATATTCTAAACGTCTTGAAATTTGAGAATATGTTTTTGTTTACATTAAAATTACAATTTAAATAGCCAATGGTCACTTCTCCGTGACGAGTATACTCGTCGAACACGGCTAACTGGTTAAGAGATATGGCTGAGCCCCAGTTGCGCGAAACACTCTACTCTTTGTCTCGGCTCTCCGCTTTTCATTCGAGCTACCTTCTGGAAGTCATAGAATTTAGGACTTCTTTTATGCTTTCGCGAGATGTAATATCGCCCCAGGATCGTCTAGGTTCACTGGTTACGAGCATAGAAAAGTTTATTAAGCTTTGATAGTTCATGGGCTCACCTTGTTCGCCAAGTCTAGCATATTTCCGGTCCCGCCTGCCGCGGCTTCCACTAGCTTCTGAAGGGTGTGAGGTTCCGGGGAAAGGTCCCGTGCACCGCTGTCGAACTCCCAACTTTCATGCCGGCCCGATACGGTACCTGAACACACGGAGAATATCGTACCGTGAACGCCGAAAGTTATCGGCGATAATGGACATGGTTGGGGGATGTTTGATCGATAAATTCAGTTACACTTTCGTTAGCCCTGCACTCACAAAGCAGAGCCTATTACGCGTTGCTGCTACCGTCTAAAGCGTTCTTAAAAGCTATTTCAAAAGATCAATTTCAATTTTTGAAAGACGTGAAAGGCCTACTAATTGATTTCTAAGCTGCTAATCAGTTTCGTAGGGTTTCTTCGTTGCTCTTCGCGATTCCTTGTCATAGGCGAAATTTATTAATTATGAATTAATTGTACCGTTACATTCTTTTTTGGCATACAAGGAAACATCGCAGTTGTTCGAAACAGGAAAATTAAAATTCTAATTCACAGAAAAATTCGTTTCCGAGCTAAACGATATATATATTTCAGCAATTTTCAAAAAACTTAACTCACGAGGGATGATTCCCAACTCGGAAATTCGAGAAATTCTGAAACTTTGGGAATCTGTAGAGCATATGTAGATGTGTTCTACGCAATGTTTTTTTTCCGTAAATTCACCTTGAAGGATGGAAATTAACCCACAAATATTCGTCAATTCTTCATTTTATTGCTATAATTCGCAAACTGTACAAGACAAGAGAAAAGTCTTCAAACAAAAGTTACTTTTTTTGTCCAAATCTATCATGTTTTATACGTTAATTCTTTAAATAATGAGGAAGAGTTGTAAACAGATAATAAAAGAAGGTTACCTCGAAGGTCCATTTAAGACAAAAAAAAAGAGAATAATAGCTAGTAGTACGAAGCAAAAGGATATTTGCACGATGCTAACGAAGAACCTCAATTTCCGAGTGACTGAGAATAAATAGGCTACCTAAAGCGATCATTAAGTTAGAGCAAGCACTCTAATCATCGCGAAGATAGGATCAGATCGACTCACCGAGACTGTTGTCGCTGCTAGTAGGCAGATATTCTGGTGTGTGGGTGTGATGGGAGCTAGTTCGATGCCTGCCGGACCTGAGGGCCTCGATTTCCGGTCGCAGAGCCAAGCGGCGCCTGAGGAACTCTTGATAGGAAATGCGACCGTGCTCGTCCGCCCCTAATTCCCTCATCAACTCCTCCACCGAGTTCTCGAGGTTCAGTTCCCTGCATACCGTCAGCAGATCCTGGCTGAAATGTAAAACCAGAAAAATGCTCTTCACTCGTCCAGGAAATTACGAGATCAAGCGTAATCGTCGCGCAGCCCCGCCTTTTCGAAGCTATTCGCCCGTCATTTTTAGCGCGAAAACCGCCAAGAATGCAGTCCTGAATGATCTTGGATTACGAATCGTCACGTACGTTCGTTTCTTTAAGTGCTAATCGATGCAGACTGCGATTAGACGGGAGATCGATTCGCTAATCGACCAACCTGGTACAGTTTTCTGCGAATTGCACTCTGCAGTTCATTCGACGACGATTCACTGCGGCTTAAGTACAGCACTGCGTCGATCTTTAATTAATCGACTGCAGAATTATGTGCAAGGTTACCTGAATGACACGTGCATAAAAGTCTGCGGTTCGTAAATTTTATCGATTCGAATGCATAATAAAGACAGTTGCCGCATCTATTTTATTCTTAAATTTCGACTGCGCGGCCATTTCGTTTACTTCATTATTCTCTTCGAAATTCATCATTTTCTCTTCGTGATAGAATAATCCCGTTTTAAACAATTCAAGCGTGAGAAGTAAGCCTGAAATGCAATTTATTAAAACGACTCTTCAAAGTCGACCGTCTAATAATTCCGCATTATATTTATACTTCAATTAACGGTGAACTGCATAAGAAAGAAGAAATAATCCAAGTGTGAGAAATAAGCCTGAAATGCAATTTATTGAAATGACGTTGACTCTTCAAAGTCGACCGTCTAATATTTCCGTATTATATTTATACCTCAATTAACGGCGAACTGCATAAGAAAGAAGAAATAATCGTTGGATCGCATCAGGAAACATAACCAAATTACAAGCAAACATAATAATTAAACGAAGTAGTTAACTAAGTAGCAAACTAATGTTAATGGAGTGTAACGATTCGTGCGATGACATTAATTATGTCTTGTCGCGAGCGTTATTTCAAGCGATCGTGAAATATGTATAGAATGGCATATTCAGGGAGCAGTTACGGTGTTAGCTGATCGGGAGAAGCGTAATCTGTGCTGGTAAGTGTTTTATCCGTGCACGGTGCACACGAGCAAATACCGCAAGATGGAAGACACTTTGCGCGAAGAGTGAGAGACACGTTCATCGGTGGTCGAGGCGGGTTAATTAAAATCGTCGGTGACTATAAAACGTTCCCCCCCTCCCCCCGTCGCATCGTTCCAGCGTTCCGATGTCTCTCTTAATTTTCGTTGACAGCGGGACCGGGAGTATCGGCGGATTAAAACGTCAGCGTCGGGTTCGGGCGAGAATCACGTGGAAGACGGACATGCAGGCCCGATCGATATAGAACGAAAGATTCACTCGCGCCGCGGACGAACATTCTGGTAAAAGCTGCTAAAAGAGATTCCGCACGACATCCTCTTAAAAAAAAAAAAAATGTCACACGCACGCCGTGCAAACATTTGTCGAAGATTTTCTCGTTAACACTCGAGCGACAAAAATATAACTGAGCATGCTTAGGATCATCGATATTTTTATTCATCAATTTTGTTCAACAAATTGTTTAACCTGCTTCTCCCGGACACGTCAGTTTTTTTACAGAGCTCATTGAAAAACGTGTGAATATTTTAATTAATTTACAAAAAGTAGACAGTCGAATAATAATATTTAAATTCTGGATGCAAATGGACCTGGATCCCGCCTTCCGGATGTCAATTGTATACAGTAAACATTTCGTCTTTATTATTATTATATTTATTATTTATTATTTATATAATGTTTATATATATTTATAATTATATATATAATATATCTATATTTATTATTTACTATTATAATTTCTCAAACAGTATAGGCTTGTAATAAGCCAAGCCTAATAGACACATTTTTAGAAGCATAATCGATACAATTTCATTGTAATAAAATTCTAACCACGTTGTTCATAAAGTAAAATATTATTTCATCTGATTTAGTTCAATTCTGTTAAATCTTCTATTTTCACCGCGATAGTGTAGCCGCATTATGTACAATAATTCCATGAAGAAATAGCAAATTCATGTCCGATAAATATTCCGCGTATAAGATATTTAATATCGCAAATGGGAAACAATATGGATATATGAATATTTTATATATTTTCACATGCTCGGATAAAAATCTAATAAAGTAGGCTATCAACTGTCTAGGGAAATAAATTTAATGCAGGATAGGGACTCGGCTCCGCCTACTATTCTCTGCCCGAGTTTCCACCATTCAGCGATTAACATTACATTTGCAGACGCTGATTGCGTACCTACATTTATTAACCCTCCAATGGTACCCTCGAGTCTTCCGTGACCCCAGCAAGATCTTCTACATACACGTTCTCGCTAATGTATTGCCGAATAATTGCGAACATCGAGCTTCCGAGGAAAGACGTATAATAGTACACAAACGTCATGGTATAAGATGAACGACAATTTGAATATTCTTATTTAAGAAATATTGTTAGATAAAATTATTAAATATGCAATTTTTACGTACATAATCAGTCCTATGATAAAAGTATTGATCGAGTTAGCAACCACTGTAAATATCTTTCGGAAGCAATTCTATTTTCAGATTTGCCAATTCAAAGCCAATTCAAATGTTCCACGTATGTATAATAATTATCCATACGATCTTACACATAATTTGCTAAATATTAACGTTATTCATTTCTTTTAGCACGTTAAATGCCGAAAATGAAGACCAAAGATTCTCGCAAAGTCAGCGTAGTTAATTCAATAAAACTGAAACTAGAAAGTCAAAATTTATCACAGCTTATGGCGCATTGATGCAATCGCGTTCTAAACATTTTAATAAAATTCAGTTTGTTCGAAAATATTTCAATAAAAAATAAAAATCGTCTGTTCTCTATAAGGGTGACGAATTAAAGAAAAAGATGTCGAGCAAACGCAGACGTACATTGTCCTCGAAATTCCCGTGCAGCGACACAGAAAAGACCAACACGTCGAAGAAATATTTCTTTTCATGACTGCGAACCTCCCAAATGACTTGTGCACGTTGTCACCGAGCAGAATAATCTTTCCGTGCAGCGTGGCCGATGCGATGGGAAACCGAAAGCTCGTGAATCTGAAAAGCGGAATCGTCGCGACGGAGCGGCGATCATCGTAAAACGGTGTTTTACGATCGCGGCCAGGTCCCACGGGTTAAGCCGTTAAGCCGAACGTAACAGGTACTCGCTGTTAACCCGAATCCGCTTTCACGGATCCGTAGGAATCAGCCTCGCGTCTCGAGCCACCCCCGCAGCCGGTAATTCGCGCGGATGCTCGTTCGTTCGTAAGATCTCGAGTGCTCCGCGCTACGTAGAAAGCTTAACCGCTTCTTTTCCGGCGTCGGCTCTCCGATCCGAGCCGCGGAAGCGAGCATCTCCCCGGGATCTGTTCACCAGCGTGAAGAGGCCGCGATTCATCCGGATGACACTCGAATGACCCTACACTGCCGGCTCTCAGTTCTTACGGAGCGAACCGGCGCGATACGCGGGTTTACGCGGCCGAGCCTTCAATCACGATGACCCTTTTCTTCGCCCATCAAGGTTTTGTATACACTGTTCGCATTTACCCTCCGGATACGGTGGATCTCGCTGTCAGAGGCTGCCACTGTTGTCTTTCATTTAGTTGCGGTGCTGTCGACGCTGTTCAATCGGAGCTATTCGATCGTTTCATTGCGTCGGACAGCATAAGGAAGCATCTCCGCGTAATTTAATGTCTCAGAGGCTGACGCGCGCTGTTCACTTACCGGCAAGACATTTTAATCGCGCCGATTATCGTGGCAGCTAACGACGGTAAAATCCGGAATGTGGCAAAGATATCGGCTCAGCTCGCGTCTCGTTGAATCGAGGTTAATATAATGCGGACGTCGTTCGCCGTGATTCATCAATTTAATATACGCGACAACGTTGTAACCGCGACGCGCAATTGCAATTACGTGGACACGTTCGAAGAAATAACGTGTCACGTGAGATTGTTTTAAAGTTACCGCTTAACCTGGCGGTAGGCACATCGTTATCCGAAACAAAAGTAAGGAGCTCATGGACTCCCGGTAAGGTTTGACATTTATTGGTAATAGTGTACAGGATATTCCAAAATTATGGTATTTACGAGAAATGGGCGGGTTCCTGAGGTCGTTTGAAGTAACTTTCTTCTTTGCAAAAATTTTCTCCTAGGCATCGTTCACGAGTTATTAGCGAAAACCCGTGACCAATAAGAGGCGAGCTCGGCTGACACGAGACGGTCGAGCCAATGGGCGAGTTTCGCGCGCTCGTTGGCTGGCCCGCCTCGCGCCAATCGAGCTCGCCTCTGATTGGTCATTGTTTTTCGTTGATAACTCGTAAACGAAGCCGCGGATTGCATTTTCGCTAAGGAAAAAGTTACTTCGAATGACCTCGGGAACTCCTCATTTCCTACTCGTACAATAATTTTGAGACAACCTGCACAGCTCGCGATATTATTATTGTCATTCATTTGGTGAATTCGACGGGGAAATTCTTCGCAACGAAAAATAAAGTGGAAATTATTGAAAGAATTAATACAGCCAGTGCTTAGAATTATGAATACGTATTTCTCCGTCGAACGTATTCGACTCGAGGATCGATCGATAATTCGAAAATATGCACTTGGAAAATTCCAGTTTCAAAGGTCTCGTGCCTCTCGCGGTTTTCCGTTTACCGTTGAAGTGTCATTTCCGTGCGCATTGAAGTCGCGTTTCGCTCGTTCGCGCGNGCCGCGGATTGCATTTTCGCTAAGGAAAAAGTTACTTCGAATGACCTCGGGAACTCCTCATTTCCTACTCGTACAATAATTTTGAGACAACCTGCACAGCTCGCGATATTATTATTGTCATTCATTTGGTGAATTCGACGGGGAAATTCTTCGCAACGAAAAATAAAGTGGAAATTATTGAAAGAATTAATACAGCCAGTGCTTAGAATTATGAATACGTATTTCTCCGTCGAACGTATTCGACTCGAGGATCGATCGATAATTCGAAAA